TTGGAAAAATGAATGAAAACTTGTAAATATAGAAAAAGGGAGAGGAAAAGTCAAACTTTTGGGAATTTTGCCCAAAACCAAATTCCATGAAAAGGTCTCATTGGGGGTGATAGGAAACACTTGGTTTCAGTCAAGCCAAGACATTTTGTGTCAATGGCAACTCTTGTTTAATGTGTTAACTTCCACAAGAGCAAGTCCAATTTGAAATGAAAACTTCAACTCTGCTGTAGACGAGATCCAGGATCACCTGGAGGTCAGGCCAGAGCCACCAGGCCATGCTCCCACAGCTAAGAAAGGGTGAAGTGGAGGGGACACTAGGTACAGGCAAGGGTGCGTGGTACCACTGGGCTGTTTGCGGTCACTGGCTGACTGATGCTGGCGCACTGGGGAGCGATGAGGCCTGCATTGACCCACCAAGATGACACATCTCTGCTCTTTCCAGCTTCATCTCCGGCATCGTCAGACACTATTACCGCAGCGACGCCCACGTCCTGGCTGACTGTGAGCTGCAGGCCTGGGCAGACGAGATCTTCCGTGAAGGCTTCCTGGGGAACGAGGCGTCCGGTAGGGGTCATGTGAACGCAGAGCTCTGCAGGCGCTAGTCACCGGGCTCCATGCGGAGGTTGCTGGGGGGCATCTCTGGACTGCGTATCTCAGGAGGCCAAATGACTACCAGCCAGATCCTGGCTGGTGTCAATGGGCATCTCTCCACTGGAGTCAATGGGGCCAGAATCCAGTTGGTGTCAATGGGTGTCTCTCCACTGGAGTCAATGGGGCCAGATCCCAGCTGGTGTCAACGGGCATCTCTCCATTTGGAGTCAATGGGGCCAGACCCCAGCTCATATCAAGTGGCCCTGCAGGCAGGGATCATGACCCCCGGATGGGGAGCAAGGTCTCCGACCCCACTGGGACAGGGTGGTCTGGGTCATGGTGGTGGGACGGGGCCGTGGGGTGACTAGGAACATCCCCGCCGTAGGAACTGGCAGGGCAGGGAGCAGGCGTGTGGTGGAGCTGAAGCTCGGAGCAGGGAGTGACTCCCCAGGGGAGGATCCAGCAGAAGGAGGCATCAAACCCAGCTCTAGCGGTCCCAGCCCCAAGGCCGCGGAGGGGACCACAGCCGGGCCTGGTCAGTGATGCCATTGTCCATCCCGCAGGCTTCCCCTCATCCCTGCAAAGCATCCCTGAGCTTATCAAGTACCTGACTATGTGGATCTACTGCTGCTCGGCCCGGCACGCTGCCCTCAATAATGGGCAGGTAGGTGCTTGGGGCCCCATTCCCTGCCCCCGACGGGGCCCTGGCGTCCAGCCACTGACACCCCCACTCTGACCCCACAGCACCCTGGGGTCCAGCCACCGACATCCCCACCCTGCCCCCCACCCCACTGACACCTCAATCCCCAGGACCCTGCTCTAGCAGCCAATCCCCCACCCAGCACCCAACCCCAATGAGACCCCGGACACATCAGGACCCTGCTCCAGTCCTCCAAGACCCTCCCCCACTGCTGTGCTCAGCACCCCCAACCCCTGCCTTGACTTTCCTAATCGTTGCCCATGGGTGAGACTCTGACCAAGCCCCGGGTGCCCAGGTCTCTTGGCTGAGCCAGACCTTCCCTATGCTGGTGCACCCTGGGCGGGGTGAGGAGGGGATCCCTGGCTGGGCCCGAGGGGATCCCCAGCTGGGCTAGGCTGGTCCCCCACTGGGATGGGGGGTGCCCAGCTGGGCTGGGGAGGTCCCTGGCTGCTCTGACTGCGGGAGGTCTCTCTGGGCCGCAGTACGACCATGGTGCCTGGATGCCCAACTTCCCGGCCACCATGAGGAACCCCCCACCCCAGGCCAAGGGCACCACCTCCCTGGAGAGCTACCTGGACACCATCCCGGAGGTCAACAGCACCAGCCACATTGTCCTCACCCTTTGGGTCCTCTGCTGCAAGCCAGTGGATTCGGTGAGGACATGGGAGCTAGGGGACGCTGTGGGGAGGCACCAGGGTGGGGGCAGCAAGGGGCACTCTCCCCAGGCTGGCAGGGCTAGCCCTAGGGCATCGCTAGGGGGTGCTGTGGGGCAGGGAGCGGGGTGGGGGGCTCAGCAGGGGGCACTCTCCCCTGGCAGGCAGGGCTGGCCCCAGGGCAGCACTAGGGGGCTCTGTGCGGCAGGGAGTGCGCGGTGTCTCAAGAGGGGGCGCTCTCCCCTGGCTGGCAGGGCTGGCCCCAGGGTGGCGCTAGGGGGCACTGGGCTGCAGCTGGGCGTGTCTCTTTAATGAGCTGTTCAGTTGTGTTCTTCCCCCTTTGTGGTAACAATAAAGGACCTGCTGATGTCTCACCTGAGCCGGGGCATGAACCCTGGTGTCTCAGCCCAGCTGCAATTTGGGGGATTCCGTTCAAACACCCATAAATTCCACTGTGTTGTTTCAACCGGCTGCAGGAGTCTCCTTCCCTCCCTGGCCTGAACTCCTCCCAGTGTTGCTATGCAGCTGTTAAACAACTGCCTCATGCTCCGGGGCATGTGAGGGATCCATTTCTAACCACTGCCCCTCCCCAGAAGTGGCTGCATCTCAGAGCCGGGTGAGGGAGCCCTTCCGAGCTGTCCCTCACCCCCTCCCGTTCCCTTGCAGAGACTCCTGAGCACGTACCCTGACGAGCACTTCACGGAGGAGGAGCCCAAGCGGCTGATCGCAGCCTTCCAGGGGCACCTGGCCCAGATCTCCCAGGAGATCCAAGAGAGGAACAAATCCCTGCCCATCCCCTACCACTACCTGGATCCCCACCAAATCGGGAACATCACGTCCATCTGAGCCCGACCGGCGAGCCCCAGGGACGGGCCCCCTGTGGCCACTGGCTATGCTGTCCCTGCGATCCTGTCCCGGGAGCAATAAACCTCAGCCTGGCTCCACTCTGAATGGCTGATTCTGTCTAGTGGGATGTGATGTTACTGACAACATAGACCATTGTTGCAACCACTGTTATATATTTGCAGCAAATATTGTACAAAGGTTGTTGTGTAAGGTGTCTATGGAAAGGTTATGA